ATCCAGCCCCATCATCCTCGCACAAGGCTGACAGGAAGGGACTCATTCCCGAGCAGGATTGCTTCTAAACCACTCCAATATGGCAAGGCAATGTTAACCAGCTGGGAAAGCTTTTGAAAGGCCCTTAATTAAAGGCTGGCTGTTGCACAAGCGTTTCCCAGTTTCCCTGCCCTCCATCCTTCGCACTTTCCTTCCCATTGGCATCTGCTGGCAGTGTGTTATGGCTGCTGGGGGGTGGCTTCCAGCAATCAGCCCCTGCTGCCACATGGAGGTTTGAACTCAGAGCAAAAGGGGAAAAAACAAGGGGACAACTCCTTCCCTGTTGATTTGCAGGAGTGGTTGGAGCAGCAGTTCACTGCAGAGCTGTGGCAGAGCTACCTGGTGGTAGGATCTGTGTGGCACAGATCACTTTCATCATCTGCAGCAGCCACAGGAAACTGGGAAAAACAGGGTTGGATCAGCCCCTCCAGCCCTGTTGCTTCCCTTTAACACTGTCCCATTGCTGCCCTAAGCCAGCCCCAAAGGTTCTACCATCCCCCTCTTCCTGCCCACTCCACATGTCCATCTGCCCTGGGGAAGGAGCAGTGCTGACAGTGCCTCATCCCACATGCTTCCCTCTACCCCATTCTAATGGGGGATACACAATTAGAGCCTGGGGCTTACCTCCTGCCATGGGAAAACTTGACAGAGAGGCATCAATTTATTCTTCCCATTGATAGAAACTAATTGAGGCAATGTGGTGCTGTTTCTAATCAAAGGCAAAATCTGGCATTCCCACATGAGGGCTGTGTACAGCCACATTGCTCCAGCCCCAGATGCCACTCCAGCCCTGCAGCCCCCTAAAAACAGCAGGAAGGATGCCTGACATCCCTGGAAGTAGCCCCTCACTCTTACTAGCCAGTGCAGCTGCTGCTCCATGAGCTAGGACAGCCACTGCATCCACCAGAAACAGGGCAGGGAGAACCCATCCCCACCCTCCTGGTTTTTACAGCCCCCAGCCCTGGCAGCATGAGCTTCACCTGAGTGTGGCGTGGGATGGGTGTGGGGCCACACACACAGCACAGGGAATGGGAATGGGGATGCATGGGCGTTATCAGGGAACAGCATGGCTTGCCCTCTTCCAGGTTAGAAACATTCCCAAGGCACACCAAGATGAAATGCGTGACTGCAAATGAGTCCTGCTGCTCTCCTCATCCCAGACCCATGCCAAAACAAGGAAGTTTTAGCTATTCTTTCTTTCGGAACTCTTTTTTTTTTTAAATGCCTATTTTTGTTCTTTCCCTTCTGTCCTCCTAAATTTGGTATGAAAGAAAAAGGAGTAAATAAAAGTTTTGGAAAGCTCTTTCAGCCCTGTTCTTCCTGCCTTGTGGAGAGGTTGGGATGAAGGAGGAGGCTCAGGAACCACAAAGCTTTGGATAGCTGGATTTTTCAAAACAAAACTGGGGTAGAAATGGAAACTTTGGTTAACTGTGACAGGGCTGCAAACTTCATTTCACACTTGGCTGCAAAGCTGGATCTTCATCACCCTCTTGCTCTGGCACTTCCCCCATTTGAATCTGATGCTCCAGAGGCCTTTTTCCAGCTCCATTAGCACAGGGAGTCCTGCCATCATTCCCTGAGCAAGCAGATGTGGGTACACCACTGCCCAGACTCCTCCTACCCCAGAAGACATCAGCACAGCTCAGCATCTTGTTATAACTTTATTTCCAGAGGTTTGGAGCAGAAAGATCCAGCAATGATCCCTGAGCATCTGTGGGAGCTTTCTGGGAGGTTTCAGAGTAATTCCTGACCCTGCAGCGCCGAGACTGCAGTGCACTGAGGTGAACAGTCTAAGTCCCACTGTCCTGGACAGCTGGTGGTCCCTGGTAGTGCTGCTTCCAAGCAGGATCATGAGGAGGTTTCAGCCCAGACCCCACTGCCTATTATCAGAGACATGAGAAACATGTTGCACTAACACGTAATGGCATCTCTGTTGATCCAGAAGAGAAATCCTTCCCTGTGAGGGTGGTGAGGCTCTGGCATAGGCTGCCCAGAGAAGCTGTGGCTGTCTCAGCCCTGAAGTGTTCTAGGCAAGGCTGGATGAGGCTTGAAACAACTTGGACTAGTGGAAGGTGTTCCTGTCCATGGCAGGAGATTGGAACAAGATGCCCTTCAAGATCTCTTCCAACTCAAGACATTCCAGGATTAGATCACCCTGGGGAACCACCACTACTTAGTGAGCACACTACATTCCAAGGCATCTCTGACCAAGGGATGCCCACCCTTCCCACATCCCAGCCCTTCCCTTGCATCCTGACTCCTTCTCAAACTGAAACCCCCATGACACTAGGTGAACCCACACCACGAGTGGGATGTGGATGCTGTCACCATCCTGTACTGAGCAGCTTCAGTTGGGAGCACATCACTCTACTGGAACTCTTGAATGCAACAGAAACGACCCAAAAGGTGGACATAAGCCTATGCTTGGCTCACAGCAAGATTTCATCTCCTTCATCCCAAAGCTGCTTATATTGTCTCGATCTAATGAAGTGCAGACTTCACCTGGACAGACCCATAAGTGGCTCCTCTCGGAGGCAATGAATACAAATACTTGACCTCCTGAGCTGCGGGGCAGCAATTAGTTTAAGCAGGGCGTTTGTGTAACACATCAAAAGTCTTAATCCGAGCGGTCAGCCCAGGCACGGTATTTGCCAGAACCTATTGAGTAGTCTTAATGAGTCTGCAAAGCGAGCTTTCAATACATTTTGGGGCGCTTCAGATGCTTTAAATGGCATAGTCTATATGGTATTGTGAGACTTTAGAAAGGGCTGGGTTTTAAAAAAGTATGGGTCCCTTTCACAGGGCAGACACAAACCAGCTTTCGAGCCGGGACCCTTAGCGGTTTGCATATCAATACGGCTGGAGCTGAATGCAGTCACTCAGCTGAGAAATAGGATCACTATCAGCGTTTCCAGGCTTTCACAGGCACTTGGGAAACTTTAAAGCTCTTCGTGGAGAATAATTTGGTCGAATGTCGTGGTTGGAAACAAAACCTAAACAAGCAGAGCGCAGTCCATCATGCAGAGCTGCCAGCGGGGCTGCCAGGGGCCCCCAGCCGCTCCGACATCACACCCTCAGCGGCTCCGGGGCCAGGACATCCCTGGCCTGGCGGGACACGGCTGGGGAGCCCTGCACGGGGTGCTGAGCCCATCCCACCCTGCTGGGTCGGTGGTTGGGCATCACTGTCCTGGGGAGAACCCTGCACTAGGTGTTCAGCCCATCCCACCCCTGGCAGGTCAGTGACCAGGGTATCACAGTCCTAGGGACAGCGTGCACTGGGTGCAGAGCCCATCCCACCCTGCTGGGTCGGTGGACAGGGCATCAGAGTACTGGGGGGACACAGCCCGGGGGACCCTGCACTGGACACAGGGTGCTGAGCCTATACCAGCAACAGCCACATTACTTGGAAAGCTCTGAGATTTCAACCAGCATAAACCAGTCCTGATTTTATCTCCTCTCCCTGCTCCTTGGCCCAGGCTCTGGCACCACACTGGTGGCATCTGTGTTGGTCCCCAGTGCCTCTGACACATGCAGGGACTGTCACCACCATGGCCTCTCCCCTGAAAGAAACAAGCAGCTGATTGCATTTAACTCCAACATCACATTAAGCCTTTCCCTGCCTTTCATTTGTCCAGAGGCTGAACAGGAATGTCTCAAACCTCAGCTCCAGCCTGGAGCATCAGTGCAGGAGATACTTGTCATCCCCACAGGGCACAACAGAGCTGGCAGCAGCCAGGACACAGGAGCTGTGAGAGAAAGCACAATGCGTGGATGTAAAACCACCCTGGAGATGGGAGGAAAGGGAATGGGGCTGGTTGTGCATCCCAGAAGTGGTACCTGCTGTCGCCATCACCCCCAGGCAGCAGCAGCAAAGAGGGGAGGCACCTTGGTCAGAATTAGGATGCAGTTTGGGGATGCTGCAGGATGCCAAAGCATATTTGCAAACAATGCAGGGCCTGAGTGCCCTTGAAAACACATAATTAGCTCATTAAAGAGACAAACACAAGTCACTAATCAGATATCAGAGGTTAATTAAATGTTTTCCCCATCTTTAATTAAAGGAAAACTAGTTAGTACAGATTAAACTAATTTCTGGCTGTGGATTTGCAAAGCTATTGAATTCAGTGAACTTAAAAGGCAGAGTTTGGGGATTTTGTCTGCTTGGCTGGCGGGGAAGGAGGGGTTTTAATCCCTGCTCTATCAGCCAGGTTACTCCAGGAAGGTATGTGCTACACAACTCCCTCTCCCTAACCCCAGACCTGGCATTTACTCAAAACTGCTGCTGGTAATAGTTTTGTTTCACTAGGAAATTCCTACAGACTATTTGCCATGTGCAAAACATCTCCCAAGCTTGGGATCTGCTGCTCAGAGCCCTCATCCACTACCCCACAGCCACCAATGCCTGTCAGAACCCAAACTTGATTTAGCACTGGTCACCCACCCCAGAGCCCAACTGGTTTCCAAAGGTTTCACTGAGGGTGGTGGATCCATCACCCACCCACACACACATCCATGCACTCACACATCCCAGCTGGCACCTAGAACAGCCTCAGTTAATAGAGATTAGCAAGATTTATACGGAAGAATATTTAATCTGGTCAGGAAGAGGAAAGGGAACATCTGGGGATTTATTTCTTAAATATTTCTCTCTACTCCAGAAAAGTTCATTTCTCGCCAGAAAAGGTCCCATATAAATTAGAACAAAGGGAGGAGGTTGCTGGTGGGGTGGCCTTGGGCCATGGACCACTGTAGTCATGAGCATCCCTGGATGGTGGCAGCCACGAGCATCCCTGGATGGTGACAGCCACAAACATCCCTGGAGCACAAGGACCATGAGCATCTCTGGACCACCGCAGTCATGAGCCCCCCTGGACTCCAGCAGCCACAAGCATCCCTGGACTGCAGTCTGGGCTCTAAGCACTACCAGGCAGACCAAGTCCCAGCCCAGCCCTGTGGTTGGCTCAGTCCCACCCAAAGTCCTGCCCTGTCATCTGATAGAACTTCATGTTGAAGGGTCTGTAGAACTCCCTCAGGCGCTGCACCACCTGCCCATCTATTTTGGGATGTGGTCTCCCCTTGGACTTGCCCAGGCACCGGGGTTTGCTGCTGCCCTCAGGCTTCTTCAGGCAGGGAAAGCCCTTGGTCTCATTAAAATAGAAATGTTTGTCTGTCACCACCCTCTTGAGCCCTAGAAAGTCCTGGACTCTCCCTATCTCCCCTGCTGGGTCGCTGACCAGCCTCTCCCCACTGACAAAGAGGAACTTGGAGAGGGGGAAGTACTGCAGCCAATTATCCAGGTGCTTGGCATAGATCCCAATCCTCACTGCACTCCAGCTCGTGTCAATCAGTCCTGTGCTGATGTTCTTGAAGGCCAAGGCCTGGAAGCTGGGGATGGAGGGGTTTTTGGAGAGGGTCTGTGTGTAGTCTGAGATGGCCCTGGTGACAGGGTTCCGCACCACCACGATCAGCTTCGTGGCCCGAGACATGTTGTAGATGCGCCGAGGAGCCTCCTTGGTGACAAAGTAGCTGGGAGTCTTCTCCATGGTGATCTGCCCCTCCAGGGTCCGTGGCATCAGGCTCCTGGGGAGAGAGAAGGGCATGCTCAGGGCTCAAGGCACAGCTGCTCTGATGCCAAGCCCCAAAACCTGGCTAGAAATGCTCAAAGGATTCCCAACCATGACCACATCTCTCCTTCCCCTCCTGCCAGGAACACCACCTTGTCACACCCCAGTGGTCATCTCTTCAGCTTCAAAATCCTTCCTAGGAGTCCCTGTGCCCATGTCTCTCCTTTCTGCTCACCTTATCTCACTGTCTTCTTTGTCCCCCCTGGAATCTGTCCCTGGGAGAGGACTCCCTGTCATTCTGCCCCACCAGCCGCACAGTTCAGAGGGCATCTGCATGCTCTTGGCCCCCTTTGGAAGTCCCTCACAACCCCCTTCCCAGCCCTGGGAATCCCTCATGCCCCCTTCTCCACCCGTTTCAACGGTGTTGATGAACACGTCAACACACACATTTTGGGTCAGGGCTGGTTGTCATCCGAGCAACTAGATTTCATGTCCTGGAAGTGCAGACCCACCACAGGGAATTGCAAAGAGGAAAATCCTATCTCAAAGGTGATGCCCATGGGAATGGAGGTGCCCACCAAGGCTCCCTCCTGCTCTGTCTCCAGAGAGAGGGCAGTTAAGGCCAGAAAAAGGCTGTTTCCTTTTAGAAAGAAAGACAGGAAAGCTCTGAGGTCTCAGCCATTGTGCTGTGTCAAATTCACTGCCCTGATTGTTCCCTTGGGCACTTTAATGAGACATTAATTGCCAGAGAAATTACCCAGCCATGTCACCCTGTGTGACAGAATGGGTCCCCCCTGCCACCACCACAGGCACCTGCTCCAGAGCCTGCATATCCCTCTTCTTCCAAACCCAAGAAGAAGCATAGAATCCTGGAATGGTTTGGGAAAGGACCTTAAAGGTCATCCTGCCATGGGCAGGGACTCTTTCTACTAGCCCAGGTTGCTCCAAGCCCTGTTCAACCTGGCCTGGAACACTTCCAGGGATGGAACAACCACAGCCTCTCTGGGATCCCCATCCCACTTCTCGGAGCAGTGGCACCAGAGGGTTATGCCCAGCAGAGATTCAGGTCCCCACAGCAGCTGGGGACAGGGACAAGCCACACCACAGCTGGGGCTGTGCTGGGGGGAAGCTGAGGCTCTGCCCAGCAGCATCTGTTCCTTATGTAATGGGAAAAGCTTGAGGTTTCTGGGATGTTTCCCTTGGACTCAGGAAAGAACATTTTATTAAAAGCATTTGCAAGTGATATTGGGCCCTGCACAACTCCCTCCCCCAGACAGAAGGCAAAAGCCACTTGTGGCTTTTTTATTCCCTTTTTCCTTTAATTTTTGCACAGTGTCAGAGTTTTAGAGCCACTTCTTGTTCCCTCAGCTGGCAGCACAGCCCCGCAGTTTGGCACCAGCAGGATGCCCTTTGGTGTCCATGCTTCTCAGGGTAACCACGGATGCTTCCCTCAACCTTTCCAGCACCTTTTTCTCCCCACCCCAAATACCAGCACTTACTGGAGGGGATGGCTGTTAAGGTTCCTTCTGGGAAGCATCTTCCCAAACCAGGATACAGCCTGTACACTCAAACCTGTGCCCTCTCTGCTGTGCATGCCTGGAGCCAAGGAAAACTCAATGGCACAACTCCACCCTGCCTGGGATCACACCTTCATCCTTCCTGGGATCACATCTCCTCCCTGCTGCTCAGGCTTCCCTGCCAGCCAAGCATCTTTAAGTTGAATTATATTGAGAAAATGCCATAGGGTTTTCAAGGCTGCTTCCCACAGCTCTTCCAGGCAACTAGCTGAGGCATCTCTGAGACGCTTCCCTGGATTTCTGCTCAGCAGAACAGCTCCTTTTCCTCATGCTTACTCACTCCAAACTCTCAGCAATCATGGGCTTAGGACCTAAACCAATTCCTCTTCTCAGTGGGCAATAACACATTTATTGTCACCAGTGAACACTTGGGATGCTCCAAGCCCCTTCAGCACTTCCAGGGATGGAGAATCCACAACCTCTCTGGAAAACCTCTCTTAACTCCTCTTCTTTCAGAGGGATAACAAGGCTGAATCCCACAGTGCCGAGGGCATCCCTAAGGGATCTGTGGGGCAGATAGACCTCTAGGACCCTCCCAGGACCCACTCACCCACACTCAGCAGTACCAGCACCTTCCCCACAACTATCCTGCTCTCCCAAGGGCTTCTCCTTGAATTAACACCAACCACACGATCCAGGGCTTAATTAACTGTGATTAACATACTGTGTAATAAAACGCCATGTTGGGGCAGCAATTCCCAGCTCTGTTAGCACAGGTATCACCAGAGCAGCAGCTCACGTGCCTGTGATGGCGTGCAGAGACCTTCACCCTGACAACCAGCCCCATCCAGGGCCAGCTGGATCCTAACATCCCAGGACTGCTCCAGAACAGCCCCTTGTGCCTCACCTCCTCTTCCTCAGCAGCTCAATCACTCACAGCTACTTGCAAGATAATTACCACATTGCCCATTCTCATTAACTCCCTAAATACTTTGCCCTAAATTACCCCAGGTAATTACTGATAACCCTCAGCTCCCTCCAGCTCTGATTTCAACTGGCAAAGAGCAGAGCAGGCTTTGTTATGCATCACTTTAGCACAAACATTGGGAGCTTTAATTAAATGTACAGTTAATTCTTAGTGACCTGAAGAGAATAGTGTGGGAATGCCAAGCAGAGCCTACAGGTCCAGGACACTGCAAAGAGGGAGCCCCTGGCACCCTTGAAGGGAATTGGGATTCCAAGAGGAGTCCCAGGAGGAGGGATAAAACCCTTTTGCCTTTCTATTAAGCTGATAAGCATGGGGGTTTAATTAGTAAAGCAACCGGTATTTGAGCAGCATCAGAGGTGGGATTTCCTACATGGATATCTGGTTCAACATGTGAAATGTTTCCTCTGTTGAGATAACTCAACAGAGTTGAATTGTCTGTTGTCTCGCATGACACCCTTGTCTCTGAATTGGAGAGACA